GTTTCTTAGGATATATTTCAAGAAGTGGTATCACTAGGTAAAATGAGAGTTCCATTTTTATTTTTTGAGGAAGCTTCATACAGTTCTCCACAGTGGCTGTACCAGTCTGCATTCCCACCAGCAGTGTACTAGGGTTCCCTTTTCTCCACATCCTTGCCAACACTTGTGTGTTGATTTGTTGATGATAGTCATTCTGACAGGTGTGAGGTGATACCCCATTGTGTAAAAAATATTGTGAATAACTATACTCCAACAAACTGGACAACCCTGACGAAATGAACATATTCCTAGAAAAATACAAGCTTCAAAAACTCAACCAGGAAGAATCAAAAAACCTGAATAGGCCAATAACTGCTGATGAAATTGAAACAGTAATAAAAAAAATTTCCAGAAAACAAAAGCCCTGGACTGCATGGCTTCACAGGGGAGTTTTATCAAACATTCAAAGTAGAACTAAAACCTATCCTTCTCAGACTATTCTAAAAAATTCAAGAGGAAAGCATACTTCCAAGCTCTTTCTATGAAGCCAGCATTACCCTAATCCCAAAACCAGATAAAGACACTACAAAGAAAGAGAATTACAAGCCAATATCCCTGATGAAGTGGGATTTACTCCAGGGATGCAAGGATGGTACAATATCCACAAATCAATAAATGTGATACATCACATAAACAAATTAAGAGACAAAAATTACATAATCATATCAATTGATACAGAAAAGGCATTTGACAAAATCCAACACCCTTTCAGATAAAAACTCTCAGCAAGGTCGGAATAGAGGGACCATACCTCAACATAATAAAAGCCTTATATAACAAACCTACAGCCAACATCATACTCAATGGGCAAAAACTAAAACCATTTCCCCTAAGAGCAGAAACAAGGACAGGGATGCTCACTTTCACCACTCCTATTCGACATAGTACTGGAAATGCCAGCCACAGTGATCAGACAAGAAGAAATAAAAGGCATCCAAATTGAAAAAGAAGAAGTAAAATTGTCTTTATTTGCAGATGACATGATATTATACATAAAAAACCCTAAAGACTCCATCAAAAAACTATTAGACTTAATAAATGAATTTGGCAATGTAGCAGGATACAAAATTAACGCCAAGAAATCTATGGTATTTCTATACACCAATAGTGAACTTACAGAAAGAGAGACTAAAATAACAATCCCATTTACCATCGCACCAAAAAAATTAAGAAACCAGCAATAAACTTATCGAGGAGGTAAAGGATCTGTACTAAGAAAATTACAGGATGCTGAAAAAAGAAATAGAGGAAGACATAGGTAGAATCAACATCATTAAAATATTCATACTACCCAAAGCAATCTATAGATTCAATGCACTACCCATTAAAATACCAATAGCATATTTCAAAGACCTAGAACAAACTCTCCAAAAATTCATTTGGAATAAAAAAAGACCTTGAATAGCTGCAGAAATCTTGAGAGAAAAGAATAAAGTTGAAGGGATCACAACACCAGATATCAAGCTATACTACAAAGCCACTGTTCTCAGTACTGCCTGGTACTGGCACAAGAACAGATATATAGACCAATGGAACAAAACAGAGAACCCAGAAATTGACCCAAGCCATTATGCCCAATTAACATTTGACAAAGGAGGCAAGAGCATACAATGGAGTCAAGACAGTCTCTTCAATATATGGTGTTGGGAAAATTGGACAGATACATGCAAAAAAATGAAACTAGATCACCAACTCACACCATACACAAAAATAAACTCAAAATGGATAAAGGACTTAAACATAAGATGGGAAACCATAAAAATCTTAGAAGAAGCTATAGGCAGCAAAACAGCAGACATTTGTTGTAGCAATATCTTTACCGATATAGCTCCTAGGGAATGGAAACCAAGGAGAAAATAAACAAATGGGACTACATCAAAATAAAAACATTTTACACAGCAAAAGAAACCATCAACAAAACAACAAGAAAGCCCAATGCACGGGAGAACATATTTGCCAATGTTATTTCCAATAAGGGTTAAATCTCCAAAATTTATAGGGAACGCATACATCATAACAAAAGGAAGATCCAATCAAAAAATGGGCCAAGGACCTAAATAGACACTTTTTGAAAGAGGATATACAGAAAGGCAAAAGACATATGAAAACATGCTCAAAGTCACTAATCATCTAAGAGATGCAAATTAAAACAACAATGAGTTACCACCTCACACCTGTCAGAATGTCTATCATCAACAAATCAACAACCGACAAGTGCGGGAGAGGATGTGGAAA